ATACAATACTGTGTAAAACGAACGGCCAATAAATAAAAAGATAAAATGTTAAAACGGGGAGCACACCGTAAAAACAAAAACACATCTAGTGTCTACACAAACATTAAAGACAACTATGATATCCGGACCAGAAAATACATCAAACGCTACCAAAACGGCCTACAACAAATCACCAGACTGGCGGAATCCACGAAATTTCTGGAGACGTGCAGAAGAAGTGGCTTAACACCAAATTTCATCAGCAACGCCACCAAAAATATCCTCTACACAATCAACAAAAACACCAGCAACAACCGAATACCAACACAACTCTCAAACGCAGTGACGGCTTACATCAATAAAGTGCAACTAAAACTGGTAAACCTTATCATCAAAATAAAGCATTCACTCCGTCGACAAATAGTAAAAGAGGTAAATAGGCTAGAAACGCTAATAACACAACAACTCAACATAAATGATTCCACCGTATTTTTCGAAAGTGAGAAATTATTAGCAAATAAACTCACAACAACAATTAAGAAGACACAAACCAAAAAATATGAAAAACTAAAGCAGAAACAAAAACAGTTACTAAACATTAGGGTGATACCAGAATGGTTTTGTAATAAGACAACCATAAATATACCAATAGATATCCAGTGGCTTTTATCTCTTGGTCCAAAATATGCCTTACCAACAGAAAATAAAAACTTTCCACTATTTCAATTTATAGCAGACGGAGAAAACTGTATACAAACAATTACGGACAAAGAAAAACAAGAGATTGAAAGAAATAACTTGACGACGCTAATACGCGACCACCTTAACAAAACGACGACTTCTATGAGAGACAAATTTATAAGTGACACCCTAGGTTCCACAAAGAAACTCCTGAATAATAATAAACAACTCTTAGTCCTCAATGCTGATAAAGGAAATGTAACTGTAGTAATGGAAAAATCTGAATATGATGCAAAAATGCAAGTATTGGTGAATGACATAGCCACTTACAGAGTTTTAAAACGCGACCCGACGAATAAATTACAGGACAAGAATAATGACATAGTGGAAAGAATGTACAATAACAAAATCATTGATTTGAATGAAAAGAATTCCCTTATGTGTAAAACGGCTAACCCACCGAGAATTTATGGATTGCCGAAAATCCATGGCATGGATGGCACTCCACTCAGGCCTATTTGTTCGTCCGTCAATTCTCCGTCGTATAATTTATGTAAATATCTCACTAACATTCTGAAAAATTTAACAAAGTCCTCCAAATATAATGTTAAAGATGCAATGGAGTTCAAAAACAAGATTAAAGGCTCTTATGTATATGATGATGGGATTTTAGTGTCATTCGATGTTGTGTCCTTATTTCCCAGCATACCCGTAGATTTGGCCATCGAAATCATAGCCTCAAGATGGGACGAAATTAAAAACCTAACCTTTTTGACGAAAGAATTATTCTTGACAATACTAAAATTCTGCGTTAAGGAGAACCGTTATTTTAAGTACAATGATAAAATCTACGAGCAACGATCAGGAATGCCAGCCTCACCTATAATAGCGGACATAGTCATGGAGGAATTACTGGCAAAATTTGAAAGGAACTCCACTAACAAACCGCGTTTACTGACCAAATACGTGGATGATCTATTTGCTATTATTAAAACCCAAGATATGGACATAATGCTACACACACTCAACAACTACAATAAGTCGATTAAATTTACAATAGAAAAAGAAAATAATGGACAGTTATCTTATCTTGACACTCTAATAATAAGAAGAAATAATTTATTAACAATTGACTGGTACAAAAAGCCGACTGCGTCTGGGAGACTAATTAACTTTCACTCCAAATACTGCCAACAACTTCATTAGAAGGGTCCTCTCTATAAGCGACAAAATTTATCATACAAAAAATATTGCTGTTATTAAAAGAATTCTGGAGTATAATGATTTCCCCTTGTCGTTGATAAACAAATTGATTCGTAATTACTACGTTGGTACCACTAAACAGGGGACAAATAGAGACAGGGAAAACAAAATCTACAGATCATCAACATATGTTCCAGGGATATCAGAAAAGGGTTAAAAATTCGAGTATATATGATAAAGATAATTATACAATTGCGTTTACATATGGGGTATTCCATCGTCACGGGTGGGACATTTGTACAGCAAAAATAGTTTTTCCTTTTTTAATTTAAGTATAAAGTACTAAGCAATTCTACATTTTGATAAAGCTACACCTAGTTCACTAATATACGAGTTATTACCAAATACGAAAAATATTCCAACTTGATTTTATATTGGAAAATTCTGAGCTGTTTCTTCCGTCACGGGTAGGACAAAGAAAAGACACTGCTTTTCGGAGAACATATATTTTAAGGAAAGTCTGTGAATTTACTTAACATTTCTATCTGGATTAGATGTTTTACTATACAGAAAAGAACCAGCAATCCCAACAAAGCACAAACCATAATAAGAATTATTTGTTTATTATTAAAAAATTCAAAATTCTCCTGTCACGGGTGGGACAACTTTTGTCACGGGTGGGACACGTACGATTTTCTTCATGAAAGGAAGCTTCTAGTGAGATCCATATCAAAGAGATTAGGTATGATAAATGTTAGAGGTCAAATACAAGATCAATTGACCTACTTTTATGACAGTGGAGTCATTGTAAGACGCACGATATACTGCTGACCCCAGGATCTATTTTAGGGGCAATAGTTATACCAAACGAAAGCTAGAAGTCGCCAGATTGATGTATTAAAATGCATGGAAGAAAGGATTATTTGCAAACGCATGAAATTTTATATGCATTTTCCTAATGCACTTCTGCACGGTGCATTTGATTGCAACGAAATTTCGAATGTGCATTAATGATTTTCAAGTTTGTTTAGAATAGCTATGTATGTCTGACTAATACTAACTACAGGCTAAACATGTATATCGACTACTGTTATCACGTCGATAGAGATGTCTAACCTGCTGTTAGTGTTGACCAGACATTGAGTAACCGGCTTAAGAGTGGCTCGAGTTGAGTTATTGTTGGAAACTGATTTCATGGACAAATCATGCTCAAATTTAGCTATTCCTTAAAACCATAGAACGTCAGAAAAGATCTTGTGTATCGATGTCTAATCCGAAAAGTTATCTGCATTAGAATACTTGTAAGCAGATACATATGTATATCTTTGTCACTTAAAGGCTATTTATTGGATTGAATTTATAAGTTTCGCGAACTTCTAGATTTTCTTGGTTGGAACTTTTCAGGTAATTGTTAATATTGACTTTTAATTGTTGTTAAGCAACCCTCATCATAGAATTCTCTGGCGTCTCTAAGATAGTAATGCTTATCTTGACTTTTCGAGCTGGCCACGCGAAATTTTTTACTACATCGCTTAGCCCACCAACAGTATTATGGTGTTTAGTCAACCTGTACTTCAGAGTTTTGTGGCATTAAACATAGGTTTGAAACGTTAAACTTATTTTTTTATTGTTAGGCATCATTAGAAAAAAATTATAAATGATTGTCACGGGCGGGACACGATAAAACGTTTCAAAATCTCTTAAGTAGGTACTTATAATATAATAAAAGAAATGAAATAGGGCTGCTTAGTATAAACACACTCTAGTTATGAAATTATAGAAAACTCCCTAAAGTAGTAACTAAGCAATACGAAGTTTAAAACTTTTTAGTCACGGGTTGGACATGCTAAACCGTAGTGATTTTATCCTATTATATAATTTAAATGCCTATTTTTCTTCAATGCCATACTGCTTCTTCGGGGCGCAGAAAGATCGAGACATTTATTCCCCCCTTCAAAAAAATAATAACTTTGTGAATACTTGATTTTGCAGAGCCTTCTATATTAAAATATGTTGTCGTATTAAACTACTTTTCTTATGTTGAAGTTTTGAGTGTATTTACAGTGTAATAAAATAATATAACTAAATTTTTTTTTCGAAAAAACGTTAATTTCAGGTATTGAGCATTGATTCATCAAGCATTCCATGTTCAATAAGCTACTCTACAATTGGACACAAAGTTTCATTTACTCATGGAATACCCCATATAATAACACACTACGACAAATCTACAGCAATACAAAGGACAAGATTCCGAATTTTGAGAAATCCAACGTAGTGTATAAAATTCCATGCAATGGCGACGGGTCCCACGTATGTAATAAGGTATATGTAGGGACAACTAAATCAAAGTTAAAGACAAGGATTTCCGCTCATAAGTCAAATATTAAATTAAAGAACAACTCCTCGGACAACAAGACGGCCTTGTCATATCATTGTAAGAATACGGGACAATATCCAAACTTTGACAACGTAGCAATTTTAGAAAAGGAAAAACACTACCATAAACGCTATACTTTGGAAATGCTACATATTATGAACACCCCTAACAATAAAAGGATGAACTTCAAATCGGACACCGACAATTGCGCGCATGTTTATCGCAACTTAATTCTAAGACAACAACAATTCATAGTATAGGTGTCATGTGTTCGTTCGCAGTCCACTGTCATTCCGTACCTTATATGTTTCGGACAACAACAAAAGAGAGCTGCAGTGATATGCATACATATTTATGTCTTACTGTTCGTTTTCCTATGTATTGTTGTTCGTGGATTTTTGTTTACAATTACTGTATTTTGAATTGTTTACATTCTCATGTTGATGTTTTCTATTGTCTCCAAATTTGCTTGTTTAATTATTGTTTTTTCGCTCATCTGTTTCAGTCGATCAAACATTGTCAAATGTGTAAGTTGTACTTGTTTAGGTTTATACGT